ATGAGCAATAGGGGTTGGGTGTAAATGAGACTGCCCAGTATGGGCCAATAGGCCCGCTGCAGTTTCCTCCATTCTTATGTTCTTATGTTTCAGTACATAGTGGTAGCCCTTAGTGTCCCAGGACATAGTGGTAACCCTTAGTGTCCCAGGACATAGTGGTAACCCTTAGTGTCCCAGGACCCTTAGTGTCCCAGGATATAGTGGTAACCCTTAGTGTTTCAGCACATAGTGGTAACCCTTAGTGTTTCAGTACATAGTGGTAACCCTTGGTGTCCTAGGACATAGTGGTAACCCTTAGTGTTTCAGTACATAGTGGTGACCCTTAGTGTCCCAGGACAAAGTGGTAACCCTAAGTGTCCCCAGGACCCTTAGTGTTTCAGTACATAGTGGTGACCCTTAGTGTCAGGACATAGTGTCCCAGGCAGTTAGTGGTGACCCTTAGTGTCCCAGGACATAGTGGTAACCCTTAGTGTTTCAGTACATAGTGGTAACCCTTAGTGTCCCAGGACATAGTGGTAATTAGTGTTTCAGTACATAGTGGTGACTACCCTTAGTAGGACATAGTGGTAACCCTAAGTGTCCTAGGACATAGTGGTAACCCTTAGTGTCCCAGTACATAGTGGTGACCCTTAGTGTCCAGGACATAGTGGTAACCCTTAGTGTTTCAGTACATAGTGGTGACCCTTAGTGTCCAGGACATAGTGGTAACCCTTAGTGTTTCAGTACATAGTGGTAACCCTTAGTGTCCCAGGACATAGTGGTAACCCTTAGTGTTTCAGTACATAGTGGTGACCCTTAGTGTCCCAGGACATAGTGGTAACCCTAAGTGTCCTAGGACATAGTGGTAACCCTTAGTGTCCCAGGACATAGTGGTGACCCTTAGTGTCCCAGGACATAGTGGTAACCCTTAGTGTTTCAGTACATAGTGGTGACCCTTAGTGTCCCAGGACATAGTGGTATAGTGTTTCAGTACATAGTGGTAACCCTTAGTGTCCCAGGTCATAGTAGGTTCTAGGCACTTACATATCAAAGGCCATGTATAACACACTTCAGTTACGGGAATACACGAGGGGCAGCTGGTGTGTGATTCCTGTGTGTGTGTGTGTGTGTGTGTGTGTACAACTTTACACAACGACTAATTATTGATTCCAACATCTCGTTTATTAACTTGACTCACTGGAATCTCTCTCTACATTATAACAATCACACCTCTTCATGCATTTTCCCATTCCTCTCTTTTTCTTTTCATTTCCTTCTTTATCACTCTAGAGGGGGGCTTTACACGCACAGTAACTGAAAGATACAGGGTATAACTGACAGGCCTGCCTCCTGACGCATTTACACGATTCAGTTAAGACTATAAGTTTTGTCAGGTCGACCCAGAATTCTGAAGAGTTAACATGTCTCCCCTGGACGACGAAACATTAATTGCTTCAGCAATTGTGATTGCAGTTCGAGACAAAGAAAAAAAGATCAGAATGGGTGAAAGAATGGATCTCTAAAATGGGTGAACTATCACATACAAATCTATTAAATGAACTAAGATAAGAGCCTGAGGACTGGTTTAAATATATGAGAATGAATTAAACTTCTAAGCCTAGTTACACCATATATTCAACGCAAAAATACAGTTATGCGTGATGCAACATTGCATTTTTTAGCTACTGGAATATCATATGAAGATCTAAAATTTTCTAATAGTTCATCACAACATTTATTTTTTAGAAGTTTGTTTGAATATTCAGTAAAGTTCGCTCTCCAAAGTGCTGTAAATGACCTATATAGTTCAATGAATTCAGTCAAAATTTCCTTTCCTGTCAATTCCAAATTCATTTAAAAAATTATAATAACTTTAAAGCTCTGTGATACGTGTCTTCACACCACAAGAACTTTACTCGCACTGACGAAATGGTCTGATACTATCAGACCATTTCGTCTAAATGCCTATCAGACTGATAGGCATTTAGACCTTCAGGCCTGCTTTCCGACCATGAGGCTCCGCCCAAAAATTTCTGTCTGCTAGAAATCCATCCGGCAATCCTAAACGACGTGTCTGTGAAAAAAACAACCCTTTACACTCTCAGTTTCGTCGTTCAGGCCTAACTGTCTGTTAAAACTATCATGTAAAGCCCTCCCTTTATACCTACATTGCTGAGTAAACTGAGATTCGGATGTTTAATGGTTCAGTATAGGCGAGTTGAGGCTTCATCCACCGTGAACTTGTCGCACACCGGCCTGCCACGCCTGCCTCAGTCTCTTGTGCTTCTGCTGACTGCAACTGACTGGTGGGTGCTGACTACTGCTGTTTAACCGGTGCTGTTACTGATGGCTGACGAGTGCTGCTAATTGTGGCTGACGAGTGCTGCTATTGATGGCTGACGAATGCTGGTACTGGTGGCTGACGAGTGCTGCTAGTGATGACTGATGAGTGCTGTTACTGGTGGCTGACGAATGCTGTTACTGGTGGCTGGCGAGTGTTGCTATTGATGGCTGACGAGTGCTGTTACTGGTGGCTGACGAGTGCTGCTATTGATGGCTGACGAATGCTGGTACTGGTGGCTGACGAATGCTGTTACTGGTGGCTAACGAATGCTGTTACTGGTGGCTGGCGAGTGTTGCTATTGATGGCTGACGAGTGCTGTTACTGGTGGCTGACGAGTGCTGTTACTGGTGGCTGACGAGTGCTGTTACTGGTGGCTGACGAGTGCTGCTATTGATGACTGACGAGTGCTGCTTCTGGTGGCTAACGAATGCTGTTACTGGTGGCTGGCGAGTGTTGCTACGGATGGCTGACGGGTGTTACTACTGGTGGCTGACGACTGATGGATACTGCTGCTGTTGAAGGGTATCCCTGGCTGACGTATACTGCCGGCTGACAGTTAAAGGTCCACTGGAAACTCTATACAAGTATTTCCATAATGCATTTCTGGTGTACTTAGTTTATCTTTGCTATTGTCATCCGTTATGTAAAAGATTGTGTTTACGTAAATGACGACATAGGTTGTAAACACTACAGAGGTCAGTGGGTGTAAGTATCAAGGTGTTTGTCGAGGTCAGTACCGTATGACTGCCTGGTGATCCTACGTTATTATCACTTCACCTTAACCTCAGCAAGTTCACCATAAGGCATCAAGAGAACTGAGCCCCCGGTAGCGTGGTGGTCTAAACTCTTCCTGTTGTATCGCAGAACTCTTCATATATTGTTGTTTTCTTTATACTACGCCTTTACATCTCCCCAAATCACGAGAGAGGGTCTAAAAAAACTGCAATTAAACAAGCGTAAAACACACAAATCGAAGCTCTACCTAACAAGTTGAGGTAATTACGTGACGAGAGTTTCAGCGAGACAAATTTTTTCCTCGAGTTGCTCAAAATAATAGTGACGTTAACCCAAGTTTATATCCAAGTACAGTTAAAGT